CCAAAAAATAATTTCTAGTTTTATGTTTTCATTTTACTTTTTGTTTTTTTTAAAGCTATCAAAATCAAAAAGGCAATTTTTCTAAACTGCAGCTTGTAATTGCGACGTTTACTTAGTTTCAGATAGGACATTTAACAACAAATATTTGTGCCCAGATTGATGTATAAATAGAGAAAGATAGCAATTTTATTATAGTAATACTGTTTGTTACATTATTTTGAATTAAAACTAGCTTCTGGTTTTATCAAGTGCTGCATCAACAAAATCACTTCAAAAACTTTTAGTGGCAAACCCGATCTTAATTGCATGCTGCTATTTATAAAACTTTTTGAGGAGGTTAGGCAAATTTCGCTGTGTGTCGGCAGGCTTTTTGGTTTCACATACTATTGGATTGCTGTGTTTAACAAAGCAGTTGTCACGCCCTTCATTTCCGATTGTTATTTCAAGCTAAAAGTATTACCTGACTCACGCTTAGTGAGGCGATCAGTCTAAACTGGTTTTGGTTTTAGCGCAAGGCGTTTATTGGCATTTAGCTGGTAATAAAATAAAGCTGAAATTTAGATTTTTTTAGTCTATCGCGCAAGCAAGTTTTTGACTTGTTGTAAACACGAGAAAATGACGATATCAAGAATACTGGCTTAACCGGAATACCAGCATTTTAATTAAATAATTTAGTAAAGTAGCAGTTTTTTGCAGTTTGAAGGCGTCAGACGCGAAGAATAGAGTCATAGAAAAGTTTTTTGGATCCTCATAATCGATACCGCCATTTCCACTACTTCTATTTTTATTTAATTTTTTTGCTTCTGTTAAACCTCAGTTTTTTATATATATTACTTAATAATGAATCTCATTATTGGAAATGCTTTAAACTTTTATTATGCTTGTCGTGACTGCAGACAAAATTCTAAAATTTGAAGAGTCGCCCTTGTCAGCTTCTCTCCTACAGTTTCTCATAGGACCTTTCTACTACTTCTCTACTGTAAACTCAACCAGTCCTTGAACCTACAGCATCAACCTATAGCTACCTCAATACCTTACTTCTTGCTTAAGACTCTTTCCAGTCCTAAGCCTTCTATGAACCGACTCGCCTTACATAGATGCCAACTCTCATGTTTAGAAAGATTGCTACTCAGTCGTAGTATACCTACCTAAACCTATATACAGGAGGAGATATCTAATTACTACGCGTGCGATACTACCCTTTCTACTAACTAGTTTATTACTCGCAAACTAGATTATACAACCAATATAAGAAATTACTAGAAGCGATTCAAATTCTATTATACACAATAACGTGATATAATAAGCAAAGAATCCTTTACAAAAAGATATTTGTTCCGCTAAATACTACAGCGTTACATTTGAACTTGTACTTCCCGGTTTTACTTTTCTGAACACATTTTTTAAGCTTTCTTTTTCAAATTTATAGTCTTGCAGAGTTGCAGTCAGCAATTGCGAATTTGTGAGAAGATATTTACATTTGTCATGTAAAATACAGGTCTTTAAAAATGTAACCTTTATTGTTTTTCAGTTATATTATGCTCTTAACTTTTTTTCAGTTATTGCGGTTATTGTAAGTCTAATTTTCTTTTCAATAAAGATTTAGGTGCTGAAGTTTGAGAAGTAACTAACAAAGTGCGGCATTTGAAAAACTGCTTAGAAGATACGTCATACTGTTCATTAAAAAATTACCAGTTCCTCTCTTGAAATTTACTGATTTAGGGTTGATAAACTGCAAAGAACTTTCTTCGAAAAAACTTTTCTTCTCTTAACCATATGTCTAGAATCTATTTTTGCAGAATAAATGGCTGAAAATTTTATCATAAACATTACCACAAATTGAAGCACTCTAACTAAGGTGGCACTAGTCAGATTGACATAGCGGTCATTCGAAAAGTCTGTTTTGAAGTTTCTACTGGAAACGCCGAAAATTGTAGTGTTAAAACATTTGGAAATGAGAGTATCTTTGTCTACATTTTTAGTTGAATTCAAGAATTAAAACACGTAAAAATACCTCATTACTCGAGTAGTGCTAGGTAAGCACAATCGACTACAAAAAAAAAAGCAATTGAAATTTGCCAAACTAATGATGGTAATTAGATACCAGCAAACTTTTACATCGCTTAAAACATTTTTATGAAATCCAAAAGTTAGCAAACCTACATACTTATACTACTCTTTAGAAAGTTAACAAGATAGAAATAAATGCTATTTATTAGCACTATTTGATATCACTCAGATCCTTTCAATAACAAAAAACTGTTGTTGTCTGTTGGTCATTTGAATCTGGTGTTGAACAAAAATGTACTTAGTAAAACAAAAATTTAGAGTTAAAAACAAAAAATAATCAGAAGCAACGGTTTAACAAAGTATGAACAGAGCAATACACTTTTATGAGGACTGCACAACTTTTAAAACGGAATTTTTGTTATTTGCTTTTGGAATTTTTTGTCTTGTCAAATAATTGTCGTGTCTGACTTCTACTTAGGATATCTCTGTTTTGTTTGAACTGTATTTATCTGTTTCACCATACTCTATCAGAACTGCATTTAAGCTTTAGCATCACCGGCTACTTCACTGCTTCTTTGAAAACCTGATGCTGTTTTAGAGGTACAGTTAAAACTACTATTTCCAAAAAAAAAAAAAAATTGTTGGTTGTTTTTTTTTTATACAGTAACCACAGTCGATGAAAAACTGACAAACAATTTTTAAATGACACATGATCTGAATTTTTGATTAATAATGAAATGAAAATTACCCTATAATTAATAATTTAATAGTAGAAACGACTTGTAGAAAGGTTCAGTCGCTACCACCTTTTCAAATTTTGAAAATGTTAAAATTTAAAAACTATAAAAAATAATATAAGTTTTAAAATTTTTCACAAATTTTTTAGGAAACAGCTACTAACGTGATCATCAGAGCAAATTTAATCGGTTTAAACAGATTAGATAAAGTAAAAATTATAGAACGAAATTTAGAAAAACTGGCAGTGAGAACTTGTGACGTGAGATAAGCGTGCAAAACTGTCAAAATCCTGTTTACTTTCGCTTTATTTTGTGTTTTGGTAATTCATTTCTTCCTGTTTTATTAACCTTTACAAGTTTGTTTCAGTCGTTTTCACTCTGAAACAGACATTTTTCTCAAACTCTTCAAAAGCATTTTTCAAAGTTACATTTGATATCACGCTACACTGTCATAATGTTAACAAGCGAAACGTTAGAAACCCAAATTTATGTGTTAACCGAAAGATCACAAAATGAAAAAGATTACCATTAAAAAACCGCCTTAAAGATTAGCCAAAAAAGTGAGAAAGAGAAGTGTAAAAAATGACAAAGAAAAACCGAAGTTTTAAATAATAATTTAATTTTTTTTTTTTTTTTTT